CCCAGGAGTCGCGCTCACGCTCAGGACTCCCTCACAGATTACATAGGAATCGGGATCTCGCTGCCCTTCGTGGCCCCGTTGCAACCCTTCGTGGCCCCCTCGTTCTGTTTCGTGGCCCCGTTGCAGCCCTTCGTGGCCCCCTGACTTTGTTTTGTGACCCCCTCGCTGCCCTTCGTGGCCTCCTCGCTGCCCTTCGTGGCCTCGTTGCAGCCCTTCGTGGCCCCCTCGCTTTGTTTCGTGGCCCCGTTGCAGCCCTTCGTGGCCCCCTCGTTGCCCTTCGTGGCCCCGTTGCAGCCCTTCGTGGCCCCAGTGCAGTTTTTTGTGGCCCCCTCGCTTTGTTTCGTGGCCCCGTTGCAGCCCTTCGTGGCCCCCTCGCTGCCCCGATCGTGGTCCCATATATGTATGCACTTCGTGGCCCCCGCTCGTTCGCGCCTGTGGCGACCCCATATGCATGCCCTTCGTGGCCCCGCTGTCGCCCTCCGTGGCCCCCTCGCTGCCCTTCGTGGCCCCGTTGCTGCCCTCAGTGGCCCCGGCCTTGCCCTCCGAGGCCCAACATACGTATTCCCCTGTCCGTCCCTCTTGGGGTCGGGTCGACGGTCCGCGGCCGCCCCGCCGATCAGCATTGCCGCTGGCCAGGCCGAGCCGCTCCGCCGCTTGCCGGGGCCCAGCCTGCAGGGAAGAAAGGTATACCCCCCAAAAGGGGTTCGATCGAAGACGAAGAGGGCGGGTATCGGGGTGGTGGGAAATAGGCGTTCTTGGACACTCGATCAGATAAGGGCGAACAGTATTAAACTTATTATTATTGTTGTTGTTGTTTTTGATGTTGTTGTTACACTCTCACTTCTGAAGAATAATTATTGTTGATCCCCCCGTCTGGTGCACATTGTTTTTCTCGATGGAAGTGCCCTTCCCCGTGCTCGCACTCTGGTTTTTATCATGGAAAATCTTGAGGGTCAAACTGTGTCGTTGGCCCCCAACAACAACGGCTCCCGCCTGAGATTTCCTAACAATTTAGCCAGGACCCCCGCTCCCGCTCGAGACTTCCTCGCGCTTTATTCAGGAATCGCGCTCTCGCTTGGGGCTTCCTGAAAGTTTATTATCCCGGCGCTCTGGAGTCGCGCTCTCGCTGGAGACTCGCTTGCAGTTTACTCAAGAATACCGCCCTTGTGTTGGAATTTCTGGCAATTTACTCAAGCGCCGCGCTCCCGACACCAGGCACCCAGGAGTCGCGCTCACGCTGAGGACTCCCTCACAGATTACATAGGAATCGGGATCTCGCTGCCCTTCGTGGCCCCGTTGCAGCCCTTCGTGGCCCCCTCGCTTTGTTTCGTGGCCTCGTTGCATCCCTTCGTGCCCCCCTCGCTGCCCTTCGTGGCCCCGTTGCAGCCCCTCGTGGCCTCCTCGTTGCCCTTCGTGGCCCCGTTGCAGTCCTTCGTGGCCGCCTCGCTTTGTTTCGTGGCCCCGTTGCAGCCCTTCGTGGCCACCTCGCTGCCCTTCGTGGCCCCGTCGCAGCCCTTCGTGGCCCCGTTGCAGCCCTTCGTGGCCCCCTCGCTGCCCTTTGTGGCCCCCTCGCTTTGTTTTGTGACCCCCTCGCTGCCCTTCGTGGCCTCCTCGCTGCCCTTCGTGGCCTCGTTGCAGCCCTTCGTGGCCCCCTCGCTTTGTTTCGTGGCCCCGTTGCAGCCCTTCGTGGCCACCTCGCTGCCCTTCGTGGCCCCGTCGCAGCCATTCGTGGCCCCGTTGCAGCCCTTCGTGGCCACCTCGCTGCCCTTCGTGGCCCCGTTGCATCCCTTCGTGGCCCCCTCGCTGCCCCGATCGTGGTCCCATATATGTATGCACTTCGTGGCCCCTGCTCGTTCGCGCCTGTGGTGGCCCCATATGCATCTGTCCTACGTGGCCCAGTTGCTACCCTCAGTGGCCACGTCGTTGCCTTCTGTGGCGCAGCATTATCTGCCCTTCGTGGCCCCCGCTCCTTCGCGCTCTTCGTTGCCCCATGCGCATTCCCTTCATGTCCCTGCTGTTGCCCTTCGTGGCCTACTTCGTGTCCTTGTGGCCCTGCTGTCGTTCTCTTTCGCGTTCGCTTTTGGTCGTCGTCGTGGTCGCCATCGTCGTCGCCGTCGTCGTCGTCGCCGTCGTCGTCGACGTCGTCGTCGCCGTCGTCGTCGACGTCATCGTCGTCGGCGTCGTCGTGGTCGGTCCCCTGTCCGTCCCTCTTGGGGTCGGGTCGACGGTCCGCGGCCGCCCCGCCGATCAGCGCTGCCGCTGGCCAGGCCGACAGTCCGCGGCCGCCCCGCCGCTTGCATGCAGGGGCCCGGCCTGCAGGGCAGAAAGGTATACCCCCCAAGAGGGGTTCGATCGAAAACGAAGAGGGCGGGTATCGAGGGTTTGGGAAATAGGCGTTCTTGGAAACTCGAGCAGATAAGGGCGACCCGTCTTAAACTGATTGTTGTTGTTGCTGCTGCTGTTGTTGTTGCTGTTGTTGCTGTTGCTGTTGCTGTTGCTGTTGCTGTTGCTGTTGCTGTTGCTGTTGTTGTTTTACGTTTCGTCCAGGATCCGCCTGCAGAGAGGCACACCCGACTTAACACTGGCCGCGGCAGCCGCCCCATTGGCGCGCGCTGCCCAGCTGCTGGCTCGGACTCTGGCGACACTTCTCCAGACCTCCTGGATGGGGTCGGAGTAGATGGGGCCGGGCATCGCTCGGACGTGTGCCTTTTTTTTCCTTCGGCGAGGACCATCGAGGAGCATCCTTAATCATGTGGCGAAAAGCCACGCACGAAACAGGAAAAAAAACACAGGAAATGGACGTCCGAGCGATGGCCAGGAGTAGATGGGGCAGGAGGATCGCGCCGCATCGCCGATGCATCGACGATGCGGTTCGATGCGGAGCCCGGTTTTCTCCGCGCAACCGTCGCCAATGCGTCGCCGACGTCGGCGATGCATCGACGATGCATCGGCGATGCATTGTCGGTGCGGCGCGATCCTCCGACCCCATCTACTCCGACCCCATCCAGGAGGTCCCTAAGTTAGCAAGTCCCTGAGGTCCTGGCGTTGCATTTTTTTCCCAACGGGCACTTCCGCTCCATTTCGGGCCTCAGGACCCTCACAGATCGATCCGGCTCGAGAAATGATCAGAAGGATGGGATCCGGGGCTCCGGTGGTGATTTTTCGCGATGTTGCAGTGCTTCGCAACGTCGGATCTCAGCGTTCAAGGGTTCGCTGGCTTGCAATAGAGAGAGGGTGCCCTGCCGTCAGGTGCCCCCCTCGCGGAAGCTCCCGCTGGGCCTCGAGCAACAAAACGCTGGGTGGGAAGCGGGTCTTGAGGGAAACGGGTCCTGAGGTTTCTCGCCGTGTTCGGGCTCTCGGGGCCCTCCACGGGCCCCGGGAGTGTCAGAAAACGACTCGGGAGGAAATGCGCGTCCTGGGGGAAGGCCCCAGTGTTCAGGGCCCGTCTCCCTCAGGACCCGTTCCTCATGGCACCCCGCTATCAGCCGAAAAGGTTTAGGTGACCAAAACAAATCGGTGACCGAGAACGTGCACGAAGTTGTAACCGAAACTTGAAGTTGTGGCCGGACTTGTAGATCGTCTTGGTTTCGAACCAAATATTCCGGTCACACTCAGGCGCGGTCGGATAATTTCTGGCGCGAGTTTCGGTCACACTCGGGCAGATTTTCGGGCGCGGTTTCGGTCACGAGGCCTCCATGATAGAGACGAGGCTACGTGACCTTTCAAAGCAGCCGAAACCCTTTCGAAACCCTCCGGGAAGGGTTCTGGGATGCTTTTTGTTGGAGGGTTTCGGGAGGATTATGGACGGGTTTTCTTTGGTTTTGGGGGGAACAAGTCCCTAGCGAACCCTGGACTTTCTAAGGCTAATGGGTCCTCTGCGGTGGGGGTCTCAACAAACATGTGTCCAATAGTTCGTGCAATCACTCGTGCGGGACACGCGCTCAGTGGCGAAGCGTCCTGGCTTGCTTAACGGCCCACCTAACAACTGTTCTTCGAATCTTTAGTGGTTTGCCGGAGAGTTATTAGAATGGCTGAGAGAGGGTCTTGTTTTAATACGTAGATCGTATGTTCCAAAAATGCTGCTCCTGTTCGTCGAACGTTCTTGTTCTAAGAACACTTCGTGGCAGGCCTAAAGGAATGCTGGGACGGTCGGTCCCTGCTCAACGCACGGCGTAAAATATCAGCACGTGGAAGCTACGCGCCATGCGCCACAGGATGAACATTTGGATTTGTTTGGCGACCCTATTAGGAAAGACCCCCTTTGCCCGGAACCAGCCGGCGGCCGCCCTCCCTCGCCGCCGTCGGGGGCTTTGCCGAGGCCCACCCAACGGACCTGCTCGACCCTGGTTTGACTCAGAGTCGACTCAAGCTCGACTCAAGCTCGACGCGAGTTCGACCCGAGGTCGGCTCGAGTCAGCGGGCGTTCGATGCAGCATCGCCGCATGAGTGGAGCAAGTGGCTCCGGGAAGGTCCCCAGAACGAGCATCCAACAGGCGCCCTGAGGAGCGGGCGAGGTCGGCAGTGCCGCAGATCTGCTCGTTCGGGGGAGGGGCGGAGGACTGGCCAATCTCAAGGGGAGGGAGGTGCCAGTTCGCGTCCTGGTGCCGCTGGAGTGGCCACTGTGTGGTGTTGCCGCTGGTGTGGCCTCCGCAGTTCTCGCGAAGAGGCCTCGGCATTGCCTGGCAAATCGTCTGCAACAAGTTGCAGGTGAAGCCTTTAGGCTTAGATTGCCATGCAAGACTTTCATGCGCCGTCGTGTCGCCACCGCAACAGGCGCCGCTCGTACTCGAGGAGCATGGCGCACATGGATACATGCTTGCACACGCGCGCGTGAGCGCGTGCGCGCGTGTGTGTGCGTGTGCGTGTGCGTGTGCGTGTGCGTGTGCGTGCGCGCGTGTGTGTGTGTTATTTGTGTGTGTTGTGTGTGTGTTTGTTTGTGTGTGTTTGTTTGGTTGTTTGTTTGTTTGCTTGTGCATGTGTGTGTGCATGTGTGTGTGTGCGTGCGTGCGTGCGCGCGTGTGTGTGTGTGTGTGTATTGTGTGGTGTGTGTGCGTGAGTGTGCGTGTGGTTGTGTCAACGTTGTGCCTGTGTGCGCATGTTCTTTCGCTATCATGTTAAGTTCCACTTCGTCGTTACATTTGGGTGATCACAACAGTGGCCCAGCGGGGAAGATCGTGTACGTTCGTTGTTAGGCTATGCGTGCCCAAGTGCGCGCGCGCTTCACTGTCACATGCTATTCGTGCAGGCTTCTCATCATGAGTCACCATCTTCATGATCAACGTCATCATCTGCCTTGTCCTTCCTCTTCCCCATCCCACCCTGCTGCGCTCCTCCCTCCCTCCTCAGACCGTTCTTCCCCAGAGGTACGCCCCTTACGACAAGATCCTGGTCGACGCCCCCTGCAACGTCGACCGGGACCTGCTGCGCGGGAGGGACGAGAAGATGGCGCGCTGGTCAGTCGGCATCGTGGCCCGCATAAGATGGGAGAAAGGGAGGGGTAGGAAGCGGAGGAGGAACAGGAGGAGGAGGACGACTCAGATTTACAGGCGTCGCGAGACAGCTCACGACGTCTCGGAGGAAAGACGTGCGACACCACCACCAGGGGTGCCAACTCCGGCGAGGAGGTTCGCTCTTCGCCGAGCGCCGCGTTCCGCTATTCGCAAAGTGCCTACACGCAAACTCCAGACAAGAACGCGTCGTCCTCCATGTAAGGGATCGCAAATCCTACGCGGCGGATCCAGGCCGTTTGCCAGTAGTTACTTTGCGAGTAGTGGAGCGCGCTTGTCTAGCTCTGATTTGGGAGGGGGTCTGATTTGAGCTGTCATGGAGTCTTCTGGGGGGTCCCGGCAAACGGCGACCCTTTTTCGTGGCTGGTCTGGAGGGGGGGGGTCTGAAACGGCTCGTCTGGGAGGTTTGCGGCCCCCTCCCTCCTCTTTCTTCGAGTGGCTTACGCCATTCCACCTACCCCCCAGAAGAGAGAGCCCGCGTCGCTCGTGGAAGAGGATGCAGTTCGCAGGTGGGAGTATAAGTGGAGCAGGATGAGGGGGAGGAGGAGGAGGGTAAGGAGAACGAGGAGGAGGAGGAGGAGGAGGAGGAGGAAGAGGAGAGGGAGGAGGAACAGGAGGAGATCTGAAATTCGGAGTGTGCCTCGAGCGGAGAGGGGGGATCAGACCACTGCGAGGATCTCCTCTGGCTGGCGCAGCGCGTCGGACGGCCGCGCCGCAGAACACCCTCCTATGCAGAGCGCTTATGGGCTGACCGCCTTCGGCCCAGCCGGTGGGAGGGGAGCTGGAAGGGACGGTTGGGGTTGCCACAGGTGTCTTCGGCCGCACGCACAGAGGGGTAGGGTGAGGGAGGAAGGCTTCTTAGAAGCACCATGCTTCTTCGAAGGCGCGGGCCTTGTCCAAAGAGAACCCGGCGCCTTCGAAGAAGCAGGGTGCTTCCCTTCCCCCTACCCCTCTCTGCGCGCCGCCCATGTTCCTGGCCCCCTGGGGCCTCGCGAGGGGTGCCCTGGAGGCCATCCAAGCATCCCTGGAAATCCTGGGGCGCCTCGGCCTGGGGAACACCTGGCAGTCCCCGACCCAGACCCCGACGTCATGATTCTTTCATCACGCGACCCCCAGAGGTCCGGACCCATTCCCAAGGACCTATTTTTCATCCCGGGTCTGTTTTTGACGATCCCGAGGCTCTGTGAGGGCCCCCAGAGGCCGAAAATAGTGAAAAACCTCCCGTCGTGATTTTTGTCATGACCCGAGGGGGTCTGGGGAGAAGGGCACGCCGAGCCCGCAGGCACCGTCAAGGTCAGCGCGGAGAGGCAGCTGAAGCTGCTGCGCAACGCGCTCTGGCTGCTCAAGGAGACCCGGGCACCTCCGCCGCCCTCGAGGGGGCGGGGGCGCGCTCGCCCGCCCGCCATGCGCGGCGCTCCCCTCAGACCCAGGCGCTTCCCGGCCCAGGGGTATCACCTCTGCCCTGCTGGAGTCACCGCGGCGGTTGCTAAGGGGACCCGGGCTTACAAGTGGAGACCCTGGTGGTCTCTAGATGGCCAAGCCCAGCTGGCGGAGTTGTCGAACCCACCCAGGCCACCCAGGGCACCTCTAGCCCACTTCGAAGCCAGGTTTGGTCATACATGAGCCACCCGAGCAGCCACTGGTGACCTCCTGCCCCTTGGCAATCCCCCCGGTGATCCAGGTGGGGAAGTGGCTGAGATCTCTCGGGGCCGACGCCACGAGCAAGCTGCGGTGTCGGAAGGGAGGCTCGGCGCAGGCCCTGGTGCCCGTGGCCGGCGTCCGCAGCCCCGCGCGGCGCTCGCCGCCGCTGCCCCGGGGGGCAGAGGTCGGAAGGATCGGAGCGGGTGCAGCGGAGGCCCCTTGCCAGGAAGCACCCTGCTTGCCTCCATCCGTAGCCATTTTGGCTCGAGACGTTTCTGGGACTGTTCGTCTACACTCCGCTATGAGGCGCAAGGCAGTCTGCATAGCGACTGTCGTCTTGTGTGGTGGCATGCTGGCCAGCGTTCCCAGGTTGAGCAGTCGAGATTCGGTGCGATATGTGCTGCCCTCCCTGGGTGCTTATGGCACAGCAGGGACCGACCGCGCGCCCGAAAGCCGCAGCCCAGAGGCCACCACCGACTGGAGACAACCGACTGGAGATGGACTGCAACGTCAGGCTGGAACGGAAGTCGCCGCGCCGGTCCCGGCGGGCGGTGGCGGGGTTGCAGCGAGCGGCCGCGCGCCCGAAGCCGGCGGCCCGAAGGCGCCCGAAGCCACCAGGTCGAAGGAGGAGGCGGGCCAGCAGCCCGGGGCGCAAGTTGCCGCGCCGGTCCCGGCGGGCGGTGGCGGGGTTGCAGCGGGCGGCCGCCCGCGCGGGACAGACGGCCCGGAGGTGTTCGACAGCAAGCGGTTGACCGCAGATGAGCTGCGGCAGCAGCCTGAGAGGATGCGTTTTTTCATCCATGAGGACCTCATGGCTCCCAGAGCGGAGCTGATGCGCTGTTGGCTGCATGAACTTCTCGGCGTTCACGAGACCATGATCGACGTGGACGAGAAGGTGGGCGTCGGTATGGCAGAGCATTTTCACGAGTGGGATTTGTTGTCGCGTTTTCGAGAGCATCCGCAGAGAACGTTCGACGTGGAATCAGCTCATTTACATGTTGTATTCCTGTTTCAAGCTGCGCCCGAACAGAAAAATTAAGCAGTGCAAAAATCACTCGGGGTCAGGTAACCACAGTCTCCAATACCTCCTTGAGCAGATGCGGCTCATTCCAGCTTTCCAGCGGCGGGAAAAGTTCGCCATCAGCCACCCATCATTTAATAAACCTCCCATGTGGATCAGGGACGCATTCTTCGATTCGAGGCACGTTATGGTCCTGGAAGACGACTTCTGGTTTGGTGCTCCGCTCGTCAAGTGCTTGCAGGTACCATATGTTGCGCATCGCCAGTTGGATGCTGTGGCCCGGGGGAACACATCCAGTCTTCAGGAGGTTCAGGTTCGGAACATAACTTTCATGTTCCATGGCAAAGGGTATCGAAATGCAGAAGGGAGAAACCGAGGTATTTTGATGAACATGATTCGGGGGAATTTTAGCAACACGAGCTTGGTGGACTATTCTTTCGAGCGCGACAAGGACCAGGCCGCCCAGTTCAGGCATATTCGCGAAACGGCGCAGATTTATTTACGAAGTCAGTTTTGTCTCATTCTGCCCGGGGACACCCACACAACGCGCAGGATGTATGATGCCATGGCGGCGGGTTGCATCCCGGTGGTTTACGGGAACGTTATTTTGCCGTTCAGCGAGTCGGTGCCCTGGACAGAGCTGGTGATCTTCCTCGACTCCTGCAATGCAAACGTGGTGATTCGGAGGCTACGCGAGCTCCTCCTGTGGAGCGACGTCGCGCAGAGGGGAAAGGCAGTCCAGACCGCCTACGCGAGGTGGCTGTCGTTCACCCAAGGGACTGGGATGGTGAGCGCCATACTGAGAGAGGAGGTGGAGGTGATGTCTGCCTACGGTGACCGCGCGACTCACTTCTCAAAAGTCAAGAAGCAGTGTGGTCCTGACAGCCTGTTCTGACCGCAGCGGCGCCTGGGTGAATAGTGCATTGGCAGCCAGTTTGGGAAGCAATTGCTAAGCAATGTGGTTTGTCCGTGGGGGAGTCGCCTGCAGCTAGCCGCAGCATGACACCACTGCGCGTGGTTGTAAGAAATGCCCCTGACTGCTAGTGTGACCGTGCGCGCCCCAAAATATCCGACATCCTGAAAAATATTTAGAAAAGCACCCTGCTTGCCTCCAGGGTGCCCTGGGTCTCTTGGGTTTCGATGGTTTGCGATGGGAAGCGTGACGCTCCCACACCACAAACCAGTGGGCGTCCTGGGGTCTCAGGGTTGCGTTTCTTGTGGAAGGTTGCTTGTGGTCGAGCTCCTACCGTACGGAAAGAATGGGGACGAAGACTGATAGCAGCTCCAGGTCATGATGAGCAGGGTTCGCTGCCCGCGCCGCCGCGGGCATTGTCCGTTTGAGACGGAAGGCTGCTTGCCCAGCAGCGGCCGTTGTCGGTTTCGGACGGACAACATGAGCTGTGCGGCATCGTACCCATTTTTCCGTACAGTGGAGACCCATGCCAGGCTTCACCTTGTTTGCCTTCAGAGTGCCCTGGGTTTCTTGGATTCCGATGGTTTTGCGAATGCAGACGCACGAACAAACTATGGACTACCTGGGGTCTCAGGGTTGGGTTTGTTGTGGAAGGTTTCCTGTGGACTGGTCCCCACTGCGCCCATTTCGGCCGTCCGAGAGAGAGAGGGGAGGTCCGCCGAAGGAAAAGATAACAATACCGGTGCCCTTCCCTCGCCACGGCGGCCGGAACCGCCCCGAATACTTGGACCAGCGCGCACGCCTGGCCAGCTCCAGGGAGCAGCGTCATCGGCATCCTTTTGTCCCCCCCTCCTAGGAGGGCAGAGGGGGGCACAGTGGAGACCCATGCCAAGAAGCACCCTGTTTGCCTCCAGGGTGCCCTGGGTTTCTTGGGTTTCGATGGTTTTGCCATGGCAAACGCGTCGCTCCCACACCAGAAACCGGTGGGCGTCCTGGGGTCTCAGGATGGGGTTTCTTGTGGAAGGTTTCTCGTGGACTGGCGTCCACTGTAGGTGACGAGGGGGGGGGGACGAGGCAGGGGGCGAGGCGGGGCGGGAGGGAGACCCAGACCCCTGACGTCATGATTCTTTCATGACGCGACCCCCAGAGGTCCGGACCCATTCCCCGGGACCGGCTTTTCATCCCGAGTCGTTTTTTGACGGTCCCGAGGCCCGGTGAGTGCCCCCAGAAGGCCGAAAATAACAAAAAAACTCCCGTCGTGATCTTTTCCCGACTCGACGGGATCTGGGGTGGGGGGAGGGAGCGCGTCGTCCCCCGGGCACTTCAGCCATGCCGCCGCCACGCCGCCATCGCGCCGCGCTGCTGGAGGGGCGAGCAGGCGCGGAGGCGGCTCCGGGCGGATGGCGGCTTCCCGCTCGCGCCGCCGCCGCGCAGGAGGGCGGCGTGCTGCTCTTCTGCAACCGGGCGCTCGCGGGCGGCGAGTGCGACGAGGCCTCCTCCCCGTGCCGCTTCAAGTCAAGACCTGCCCCCCGGGCTCTCTCAGGAGGGGAAGCACAAACAGACACACACACATACACACACTCACTTATGTATGTATATATATATATATACACGCACACATAAGTGGCACGTGTGTGCCCAGGCTCATACAAAAAACTGAAAAGGGCGTTTGAAGCAGGAAGACACCATGACTGCAGGATCGGAGATGGAGAAGGGGAAGCTGGGGCGGCGCCGCCAGGGCGTGCCTAACAGAAGGGGAAGAGGCAGGAGGTGAACGCAGAATAATCTAAGATCGAGGTCGCACTCGAGCGCAAGTGGGGTTGCCACACCTTGCGATGTGTGTTCCAGGGCCCCCCAGGAAACCTCAGGAGGCCCGACTTGGATACCGGAAGAGGCTTCAGGAGGCCCCGGGATTGTGAGTGTTATGTGTGTGATGTGTGCTCTGTGTTGTGCGTGATTTTTTGTGCGTTGTAGGTGTTGTGTGTGTTATGTTTTTCTAGCGTGTGATGTGTTGGGTGTGATGTGTGTCTCTGTGTGTTTGCGCATGTAGTTCTGAGGCCCCAGGAGGCCCCAGGCGGCCTCAGGAAGCCCCAGAAGACCCCAGGAGGCTCCAGGAGGCCCCAAGAGGCTCCAGGAGGCCGCAGGAGGCCCCAGGAGGTTCCAGGAGACCCCCAGAAGGCTCCGAGGCGGGGTTCGGGGTACCAGAAGGTACAGAAGCCCCAGGAGGCCCCAGGAGGTTCCAGGAGGCTCCCAAGAGGCTCCGAGGCGGGGTTTGGGGTACCAGAAGGTACGTCGGGGTTCGATTTTGGGAGGATGCCTCAGGCGAAATCGCCGTTCTCTGAGAATCGGGGCCAAAATCATTGAAGCTACAACGTGTGTTTGAAGTTTTTATGTTAGAATGTCGAAATTCCCATGTGTTTTTGGACCCTGACGTCACGATCTGCGTGAGGGGCGCCACCGATTTTCAGAATTTCGAGGATGTCCCTAGCGAGACGGCCAGAACAATCGCGGACGCGGCGCCCCGCGTACGCATGAATCGCCTCTGAGTTCTCTTCCCTCGGACAGGTGCGTATGATTAGTTATATATATATATATATATATATATATATATATATATAATCGTCGATTCCCCACAGACTGTACGAAAATATGGGAAGTGGGGGGGAGGACGAAAACCCAAAACCATTGCAAAATATAAGGAAGCCTGGGATCTGTCTTGATTAATGTGTGTCCCTGGGCCCCTTTATTCTCCCCCCCTCCTGCTTTCCCTCCTCCCTCTCTGCTCGTCCTTCCCGCCCTCCACTCCCGCCTCCCCTTCCGTTTCTCCCCCCCGCCTGCTCCGCTAAGCCCCCCCCCTCTCTGCTGCCCCATCCCCCTTCCGCCTCCCATCCCTCGGTCCCTCCCTCCCTACGCCTCTTCATCCTCATGCTCCCTGCTTTCTCTCCTCCTCCTCGGCCGTGCAGCAAAACTCAAGCATACTTCGTCGGCCCTGCCAGGGCAACAAAACCGCCAAGACAGGCCGATCTCCAGACGGGGGTCCAGAACTGGATCAAAGTATAAAGGGTCTAGTGGCACCACCGCCAGTTTGTCTCTTCAAACGGGGGTCCGAAGTTAGTTTGTGGAGCCATTGAGTTCATAGAGCCTTGGATTTCAGCAGCACTTAATCAAAATAATTCTCCCCCTCCTTCGTCATTCACGATCGCCTTCTGAGTCTGAGGATACTTGAATTGCAGTCTGGGAGGGGGGCGACGATGTTTCGGGCTGCAGCTTTAAGCGGGTGCATCAGGTAGTTCGGTTGCAGTTTAAGGTGGGTGTGTGAGGACATGTTGGTTGCAGTGCGATACTCGGGGGATGACGATATTGGGAGTGCAGGTTTTAGGTGTTTTGGTGCCGATATTTGGATTTCAGTTCAGTTTTAGGCCACGGGGGATGGGGATGCTTGGTTGGCCGTGTTGAGCCAGGGCGGTGAGAATATGTGCTGTTCTGGGGGAAGTATGCTGACAGCTGAAGGCTGGAGGGAGGGTTAAAAACCTTCTTAGAAGGCGGCGGGACTTCTCAGAAGCCCTCGCGCCTTCTGAGAGATTGGTTGTGGCTTCCAGGAAGGCAAACGTCTGAGAAGGCCAGGGGACTTCCGAGCCTTCTGAGAAGGCCCGCCCCTTCTCATTTCCCGCCCGTGCTCGCCGCCAATTTTTGAGGGCCTCTTAGGGCTCTCTCGCGGCATCTCCAGCGCCTCTTTGGGTTTTCTTGGGGCTTTTCGGGCCGTCTTGGCGCCATCTTTGCGGCGATCGAGCCAAAAAGGGGGCTGTGCTTGTTAGGTTCGCCCTTGAGATTGTTCGTTTAGCGCCCCCCCCCTTCCCCCGCGTAGCGCTTGTCACGGGGGGTCCGCCCCCCCACCCCCCGGCCCCCGTATTGTCAACGATCGTACCCTGAGATCTTGGCGTCACAGTTTTTGGCAATGTCGGATCTCGGGATGCGGCGGGCGCTGGCGCGAAGCCCGTCTGGTGGCGCGAACCCCGCCCCCCCGTGCGCGCGGCGGTCGCGGTGCACGCGTCGGCGGCGTACACGGGCGCGGTGGTGCACGCGGGCACCGTGGTGTACTCGGGCGCTATGTTGCACGCGGCTGTTGTGGTGTACGCGGGTGCTGTGGTGCGCGCAGGCACCCCTGTCTTGGTGACAATTAGAAGATGAGATTCCTCCCCTCCCCCATCTTGCTCTCCTCGCAGGCTCCGGCAGTGCTCGCGGGCTGCTGTTGTGCTTGCACGCCGCGGTGCTCTCAGGTTGTTGTTTTGCTCACACCGCAGACGAACAAACAGGAGGGGGAGCAGCGGCGAATGCAACAGAGCGGGGAGGAAGCAGGTACCTGTCAACAGTTTGCATTGTTCCACGCCTCGACGTGCCAGGGGGCACGGTGGCCGATCAAGTGGCTGCTGGCGACATGAACGTAATTTTTCGGAGGTCCGCGCGGATTTTTGGATCGGTGCTGGACTCGATTTCCTGGCGCAGGGTCCAGCATCGACCCCAGCGCGGGCGCTCAAGGTTGCGACGCGCCTCGGTGGGGCGGGGCCTATCCGGCCCCAGGGCTCTCAGAAATGAGCCCGCGGTGCGAAGTCATGGTTCAAGATCGGGCCGAAAGCTTCCGGTTGCGCAGATCGCTCAAGATTGAAAGATCCACGCGATGTCAGATAGCACAACGTCCCCCCGCCCTCCTCCTGCGTCCTCGCGAGTCCTCTTACCTTCTCCCACATCCCCCACGTCTTCACACCTCTCCCCATATGTCCTCACACCTCCTCCCCACGCCCTCCTAAATCCTCCTACGTCATCCTACCTTCTCCCACTCACTCCCACCTCCCCCCACCTTCCCCGCACCTCCTCCCGCCTCCCCCAATCCCCTCCCGAGTCTTCCCACCTCTTCCCATCGGCGGCGTACATAGTCGCTGTTGTGCACGCAGGCACTGTGGTGTACACTGGCGCTGTGTTGCACGCGGCTGTTGCGGTGTACAGCAGGCGCTGTGGTGCACGCAGGTACTGCGGTGTGCACCGGCGTCGTCTTCGGCTGCTGTGGTGTACGCCGGCGCTGCAGTGTGCGCAGGCGCCGTGCACAGGCGCTGCGGTGCACGCATGCTGTACCCCCCCCCCCGCACCACCCCTACCCCTCCTCGGTACCGTTACTCCTCCCCTGCCTCCCCCCCGTAACGAAAATTTGTGGTCCCAGAATAAGATAACGGTCTCCTTCCAGAAGACCAAACATGGGCCCAACACCTCAGAAAATTAAGTGTTGTTGGCTTTCTCGCTGAAGCCATCTTGGACGCTCTGACCGCTCGCGACACCCCCGTCTAGACCCAGGGGTAGGGTGGGGGTGGGGGAGGGGTAAGCTCCTCCGCGAAGGGAAAGAAAGGAGGGAGCAGGAAGGAAAACAAGTCAAACCACTTTAGCTCAGATGGCTGTCTGGATTATGCTCGCAGCTTTGGGAGATGGGGGTTCGGATGTGTTGCTGGCAGTGTTTGGCCAGGGGGTCAGGGTATTTTGCTGGCAGTGTTAAGCCAGGGGGTGAGGATATCATGCTGAAAGCTTTAGCCCTTCGGCCCGTTGCTGGCAGTTTCTGTTCAGTGGGTGATCACATGTCGTTACTTTCAAATTTAGGCTGCTGTGGTGATAATGTGTTGATGGCATATTATGCTTCAGGCAGCTTGAGGCATGAAGCCAGGGGCTGAGGAGACCGTTTATGCATGTCAACGGCAGGGCGCAAGGGTAGAGCAGGACATGTATTACACATGTATATATGAATATGTGTGATGCCACCGTGAGCTGTTTCGCGTGCCAGAACTGCGGGCAGACGGCCAACGGCCGCGTGCGCTTGAGCTCGGAGGTCTCGACCACATGTCGCGTCCGCTGCAGAGGTCCAGACGCCGCGAGTTTGCAAGTGTGGGATCCTCGCCGATTTGGCCCGAATACGGTTTGGGGACAAGAAGGTGCCAGCATCGCTACTCCCTGGACCTCTCCAGGGGTATGTCCTGACCGGCATGTCGAGCGAATCCAGCCGTGGTGGCGAGGGAAGGGAAGCGGTGTCGATAGCTTTCCGTCTGGGCGGCGCAGCGCCCGTACGTGCACGTGGTCGTTGCTTGGCGTGGGGCTGTCGGGCGGGCCAAGGGGCGAGTTGTCTGATGGTTTGTCGTGCTGTTGCTCGTTGCTTTGCCTGGCGGGCTGTGATGTTCGTCCTGTGTGCAGGAGGGCCAGTGTTGTGGAAATCGATAATGGAGAGGGAGCATGCTGCCACGTAATTTCCAGATGTCTAAAATATATGTCAAACATGTTTTTAACTATGTACAACACATGTTTAAAGATGTACAACACATGTTTCAAACATGTTTTAATTATGGCATCCACAAGGCCAGTGACGATATGTAGCTGCTCTTCCCGCTGGGTCCTCGGGAGCTCCTCGGGGTTCCTGTCGGGGTTCCTCTCGGGCTCCTCGCGGCCTCGGTGGTATACTTGCGGGAGCCCCCGTGGCTCCTATGGAAGGTTTTGCGTTGTTTTGCGCTGTTTTGCGTTTATTCAGCGCTGTTTCCCTTTATACACATTGCGTTGGTTGGCACTGTTCTGCACGGGTCTTGATTTCTTTCGAGTGTTCCGCGTTGTGTTACGTTGTTTGGCCTATCAATGCATTGGCGACGCGATTCATTGCCATCGTGTTGCATTCCTCTGCGTTGCTATGCGTTGAATCATACTTCTGCGTTGCGTTACATCGGCTCGATTTGGATTGGTTTGCATTGCTTTGCATGCGTTGCTTTGAACTGGTCTGCGTTGAATTGCCTTGATTTGCGTTATTGCCTTCGGAGACAAGCAGACCCGCATTGGGGTCTCGCCAGGTTCATCCAAGAACCCGAAATTGTCGGGCGGGTGGGAGTGAATCACTGCCAGACCACGGACCTCTTGACCCAATGCGAAAACTAAAGGTGTTGCAAAACGTCACGTCAGGGTCCCAATGCCCGAAACGAAGCAGGACCGCCACTCCCGAGTTCGCCCCACGGCGGCCAGATGCGAGGAGAGGACGAGGGGCAGGAAGAGGTGGAGGAGGGGTAGGATATGGAGGAGGGGGAGGAGGGGACAGGAGGAGGCTGTCTCCTGCCCTGCAGGTGGTCGAGCAGCTGCTGGTGCAGGAGACCTGGGCGGCTGCTCGGGGCTCGAGGATCGAGGTGCTCTGGCGGCCGGTGGGGGGGGCTCCCAGCCCTGACCTCCTGCAAAGAGCAACAGGAATAGCTTGCGACTTGTGTGATATCTAGGTTTTTAGATGGCATAGCAAGCTTTCCGGTACCTTTTCATAGGCAGCATGACCGATCTGTGTGTGATATTTGGGCCTTGCGCGTTCTTTTATTAGCGTCGGAAGCGGAATACGTATAGCACACCTGTCGTATGCAATAGCGTACACATAGCACACACGTAACACACAATTGCCACACATAACATACACATAGCATACACGTAACACACACATAGCAGCCACACACACACACCATACACATATCACACAAGCGACATACACATAACATGCGATGGAAGATCGACGGTTGAAGGACGATGTTCGAAGATCGAGGAGCGAGAGTCGAGGTTGGAGGATCGAGCATCGATGATCGTCGTCCAACGTTTGTCACGGATTGCACGGCAAGTCCAGTCCGTGGGATGTTCAAAGCACGGCGCGAAGCAGGAGGAGGAGGACGAGGAGGAGGGGGACGAGGAGGAGGAGGAGAAATTCGCTGGAATTCGCTGGTATCCACGAGGTGAAAGCGAATTAGCCAACGAGGGCCCCTGGCGGCGGCCCACGGAGGACGGCCTCCCGCCTGACAAGACCCAGTTCCCTGGCCAGAGACGCGTTGGGCGGACCCGGGTGGCTGGGAAGCAGACCCTTCTGGATCCCCTGGAGGTTCTCAAGGCCCTTGTTGGTGCGGGTCGTGCACACCGAAACAAGATGGCACGGGTCGTCCGTAGCAGTTTCGCCACACGCCAGACAAGCATGCAGCCCAAACTTGGGCTATGAGTGCAACTTATGGGACGCCTGACGCTCCTTTCCGCCCGCCGTCACCGCCCCACTCGCCCGCACCACCCCAAACTCGGCCAGACTCGAAAGGTCTTGGGCCGCGGCAATACACGCAGTCGAGCTAAACTCCGCCACGTGTGCCGCAGGGAACACCGTGTGGCAGGGAGAGCACAGCCATTTCCGTTCGGCCCGAACCAAGCAGTGCTCGCTCTTGCGCATGGACCCCAAGAGGCCCTCGGAAACCCGGCGGGCCTCAGGAGGCCGAAGCGCGGACCAGGGCGCAACGTTGATGGAGTTCACCAGCGCTCTGGCTGCTCTGCGCCTAACCAGCGCAGCAGTGCAATCCCAAACGTCCGTGTCGGGGGGTCGCTGGCCTTGCAAGCCATGGGTCCGGGAGAACCAGGCCGCTACCCCCGCGAGAGCGTCGGCGAATCCACTGCCCGTGGCGTACAAACGCTCTTGGGAGGAGAGGGAGGGGTCCTCAGCACCCACGTGCGACGGGTACCACACGTCCTGGACCTCTCCCTCCCCTCTTTCGGAGAGAGCCGCACGGACGCGCAACCGCAGGTCAGAGTTGGGGCCCCTGCAGTTCACGTGCCTTTCAGTAAGCCGCCCTTTCTGCAGGGCAGCATGGTCCGTGACGCAACGCACATGCCCATGCAACTTCTTGAGCGCGAGCTCGAACGTACGGATCTCGGCTCTGGGCACCGTCTGACGGCGAACCCCACGGGTCGCGGCACATCCGCGGGCCCGACGCCAGCCCCCGGAGGCCTCCGCCAGAGTGATTGCAGCTGCGCCCACACGTCGGCGACGAGGGTCAACGCTGCATTGCCCACCCGTGCCGTCTCTGCAAACTAAGAGGAGCCCGTCCTCAAGGACGGGATCGAGCAGCTCTTCCGCACCACCCACAGCCTGCCACTTCACGTCTTCAACCCCCAATCTCGAAAGGCAGGACGTGCGAGGCAGGGCGGCGGGGGCCCGCGCAACCAGGGACTCGGGTTGGCCTCGTGGCCCGCTCGGGTCCGGGAAACTAAACGCTCGGACTTCTCGTGCGCAGGGTCCCCACGGTTGCTGGAGCATTCCCAAGCCCGATGAAACAGGGACTCCTCGGGGGCTCCGCACCGTGGGCGCTTCGGTGAGACCACGCACCCCTGGGCTAGCCGGCGTTGATGGGGCCCGTGGCCGCCCGCGGCCACCGCGACCATCTGCCCTGCGGGGTCGAACCCACCTCGCTCTAGAAATCTCTGGAGCTGAGACCCAAGCATGGCAACGTCGGCGCCCAAAGCTGAGACTTGAGGTCCTCGGCGAAGTTACTGACAAGTGCGGCGATGTCAAAATCGCCAGCAACTCGATCCGCCTCGGTGCCGGGACACTGTCAGGTTTCAAACGCGCCTGGCCCGACAGGCCTCCGCCACTCCGCGGGGGAAAGAGGTCGCCACCCCGCGACTTTCAAGGTGACGATGATCGCCCCAATGGGGCCACGCACTTTCCTCCACCAAAACTTGGGTCCGTGCCCAAGATGCGCGGCCACCAATGGCCAAGCCTTGGAAATCCTAGGATGGAGGGCGGGGCGGGTGACGGTTCACTCCGCAGCGGATCGGCGTCGGGTGAACTACGAATTTCTTGCAAGCCTTGAGGTAAAGAAGGTCCTCTTGGCCCGTGCATTTGCCAAACAGAGTGCCCCAGCATGGCAGGGCAGAACGGCTGCGCAAGATCGGAGATCCTCTGCTTGAATTCGGCGGCGATATCCCAGCTGGCACTGCTGTCGATCGGCACGGCAGTTCACTTCTCTACCTGGCGGGGCGGTGGGCGCGGCGAAGAAGGCCCGTCGAAGGAAACGGTGCGCTGCTGCACCTCGATCTCCACGAAGACCAGCCCAGGCGAAACCTTCTGCATTTGGAAAGAAGGAGCCTCGGGGTTCAGCAGCGAAAGCGCGGAGAGCGGATCTGGCTTGCTGACCGGCGGGGCTTGCGAGATGTCGGGCATCCGAGGGGAAAAAGCCGGCGGCGGCTTCGGCGGCAGAACAATAAGTCGACTAACGTAGCCCGGCTGATCCCTACCCAGAGGGTGAGGGCGGTCAAGAGCACTGTTGTGAACGACGTCAGGGAGCTGAGCTGGACCAGAGCGGCCAAGACCGCAAGAATGTGCCAAGTCGCGGACGTCGGCCACGCGTGGTACGCATCCGACTCGGGCCGCATAGCCGAGCCTCCGCACAGAGGCACGGACACTCGGCCTCGCCCAGCAAGGATCGTACCGGGCGGGGGGGGGTCTCGGTCGCGCTCACGACGAACGGCGCGAGAGTTCGATGCGGCGCGCATGGGCCCGCGCCGTGATGGAGTGAGGACCTGGCCCCAGACCCCCGACGTCATGATTTTTTCACGACGCCACCCCCAGAGGTCTCGACCCATTCCCCAGGACCTGTTTCTCGTCCAGAGTCGTGTTTTCGACGGTCCCGAGGGCCGGTAAGGGCCCCCAGAGGCCGAAAACAGTGAAGAACCTTTCGTCGTGTCTTTTTCACGACTCGAGGGGGTCTGGGGCTGGAGAGCAAGAAAATTTCCACAATCCAAAGGCGCCGCCAGGAAATGTCTCCGACGGCTCGAGCCCGGGGAGCGGAGCGGATGGGCTTGTTTTCCACCACCTCCACCTCCATAAGTTGGGGGGGGAGGGGTCCTCCTCCTCCACCTCGTTTTCTTTTCCCTCCTCCTCCTACTCCTCCTACTCTTCCTCCTCCTACTCCTCCTGCTCCTACTCCTCCTCCTCCTCCTCCTCCTCCTCCTCCTCCTCCTCTTCTTCTTCTCATCTTCATCCCCTTCATTTATGGGGCAGAGAAAGGTGGGGGGACGCGATGGCCTGCTACCTGTCGGACAGATAGAGAGCTACACTTTGGGCGAGTGGATTAGTTTCTCTCGCGGATCCCGAATTTTCAAAATTAATTTTGGGCTATCGTTCCAAAGTTTGTTTTGCCCGCCATTCGAGGGGGTCATCGCGTTTGTCGGATTTGCGAGGGCCTCGACGTCGCTAGCCAGAGTCGGCGTGGAATCAGAAATAACAACTCGCGATTAGGAGGCGCAGGCGGAGCGCGCATATCTTTTAAAATCCATGAAACATCGTCACCAGGCGAGTTGCCCTGATCACGGGGGGGGCAAAGAGGATGGAGGGATCCAGAACAAGGTCAGAGGTCGTAGCGACCACCAGCGCTCGTGGGACCCATGATGGGCTACAGGAGGAACCCCCAGTGCCCCCAAAACGCCCCACGGGGGCCCCAGACGCCACGACCTCCAGATCGAGACCAGATGTCGTGGCGAGCAGGTGCGCTCCTGGGACCTCCCGAGCGCCCCAGGAAGAATTTGAGACCCCGCCAAGCGCTCCAGGAGACCCCCAAGACGCTACGACTTCAGATTGCGGCTGGAGGTCGTGGAGCGCTCTTGGGGCCCCCAGGGACCTGGTTGCGTGCCCTTGGCCGCAGTTGGGTCCCTTTCGGGCATCCCTGGGACGTCCAGCCTCCGCCGCCCTGAGGGCGGCTGGGATTTCAGTGGCCCCTGCCCTCCTGACTCTGCGGGGAGGCGCGGCGACGGCCCCGACCTGTACCCTGCCACTTTCACTAGGTGCCGGTCTATACGTGCTCGCCCCGCTCGAGACATCCAGCACGTTCAGAACTGCACTTAGCCATGCGCTAGGTGTAGTTCTGTACGTGCTGGTTTCGCCAGGGACATCCTCACAAAACAGAGCACTCATATAACTACACCTAGCCAGCGGGGCGGGGTACATGTCGGGGGCGCGACTCGCGCTCCCGACGTGTACCGTGCCCCGGCCGCTAAGTGTAGTTCTGTACGTGTCCCCTTTTGGCGAAGCATCGGCTGCCCGTGCTGCCCATCTCCGAGGCCCCGTCCCCAGGGCCGCTCCCCGCCGACTTCCCACTTCCTCAGGCTCAGCGAAACCACCTGCATGGCCGCTGTCCTTTTCCGCCTCGCACTGCCCGCTGCCCTTCCCCGCCTCTGCCCCAGTATGATGACCCCAGTGTTTTCTGTGCTTTGGGGCGCCGCTTTGCCTCAGGCGTGATCTCCTCCCTCGTCTCGTGTCTCCGTGCCTTAGCAGCCTCTTTCATTATGTCCTTCCACTTCCACCTCATCCCCG